AAGTCTATTCCAGATTGTCCTGCAACTTTTAACCTCAAGATGCACACGATGATTTGGATGTGAAGACATTTGATTTTATTAAATTTGTCACTAGCTGTTGGACTTTATGCCACCTCAGATGCCTTATCCTTACTGATCAAATACCAAACCATCTCCCATGATTTCTTGTAGTAGTTAAAAAATACATTTTTAAAAAAGGTTTAGTTATTTGTGCTTATAGAACTGGGGTGCAGGCCAGAGGTGCGGGGGCGGTGAGAGGACTCCCCAGAGACGGAGCGGGGAGCAGGACAGGCAGATGGGCGAGTACACTGCTGAGGGGCGCGGCGGGGAGACAGGAGAGGTCTGCTGCCTCGGGGTCACCTCCCGGCGGGGCTTGAACCTGTGCTGAGGCGGCGGCAGCCAGCTGCGCAGCCCTGCGCCTCACCCCACTGCACCACCAGGGAGGCCTCTTAATGGAGTGTAAAACGGCGAATGTATGTTACATGACTTTTATCTCCCTACAAAAACGGGTCAGGCCCTCCCTGGTGGCTTGGAGTCCGGCCACGGTGGCTGAGGCCCGGCGAGACAGCATGGCCCGGGCGGCACAAGGCCTGCGACTCTTGAGGTGGTGGGAGCAGGGGTCAGTGACGTGGACGCGAGCTTCAAAGCGCTTGTGGGCCGAGGCGCTCAGAGGCGCGGCCCCCGCCCACCCCAGGGGAACCATGCAGGGAATGGCAGGGAACCATCAGTTACCTGCCTAACTGAAAAAGTCCTTGCTGGGCCTCCCTGGTGGCGCAGGGGTTAAAGTCCCAGTGTGATCAAGGCCACTGCGGCCTGGGTCCATCTGTGGCCAGGGAGTGACCCACAGGTGCAGCAGACTCCGCCTCTCCCCCCGCTGCCCCCTCGGTGGCTTTCAGTGGACCCACCTGTTCCGCTGCCCACTCTGCCTCAGGGGAGTCCTGTCCTCTCACGCTCACCCCCACCCCCACCTGCACCCTAGCTCTTTTGTGCATAAACAAAGGTAAACCTTAAGAGATCATCAAGAAAGTTGCAAAAGGCTTAAAAAAATGCGAACACGCTGTAGGAAAGCCCAGGGACAGAGGCTTTCCCGGGCAGAGCAGCTGACTGACCTGACTGGACCCACCAGCCAACCATCTGTCTCCCCTAAGTAACCTGTGTTCTCAAGTTACTTAAAAACAATTTTTATTTTAGTTTCCTGTGTTATTAAAATACAGTTCCTTCGTTTCTGTGTTGGATAACTTGATAAGCTTTTGGGCAAAACCCTGGCAGCGGGAGTCGCAGGGAGAGCGTTTCCGGCCCCTGGGGCCCAGGCCCCCGTGGACAGAGCGGCTGTCCCAGGGATGGAGGGTGGCGGGCGGGAAGCCCCCCAGCTGCTGGGCCCTGGCCTGCGCCCCCCAGGGGCCTCGTCTCCCCTCCTCGGACTCGCCCAGCCTGCTGAAGCTGCTCTTGCTCAGGTGGCCGCAGACGTCATGATGGCGTCGTGGCAGCTCCCAGCCCCTGTGACGCTCTTCTCTTCGGGCACTTTCCCCTGCCAAGTCCGTCTGTACCGAGCTGGTGTCTCCACCTGAGAAGAGCCAGCGGCACCGGGCCCTGGGGACGCCCCGCCTTCGGCCCCTCCGCCTGCCCCTCCCGCCTGGGCGCTGGCTCTCCCTGAGACCTTCCCGGCAGCCGCCACCGCCTCAGCCTTGCGGAAGCTGCCTCCTGGGGCCCTGCCCGGGCGTGGCAGGCTCAGAGCCCTGCCCGGGCGTGGCAGGCTCAGACTCAGCCGCCCCTCTGCTGACCAGCTCAGGGCGGCCTCCCGTAGGGGAAGTGCCGGCCCTTGGTCCTGGACACCTTTGCGCCCTGTTCTGCTGACACAGCCACTCCCGTGGGACGAGGCCGCGCAGCCCCGTTTCCTGTGCGGCCTGGGCAGATGCCGCCCGGCCCCGCGCTCTAGGCCAGGAGGCTCCTGAAACACTCTGACCTGCGTTGTGTGATTCTGGGCAGCGGAACTGACACCCTGGCCCAGTCCGCAGCCACCGCTAGGGTAGGCCTGTCCTGGCGCCCAGAGCCGGGCCGCGCTGCCGCGCACCTGGCGCCGCCCACGCCCCCGCGGTGGCGCACAACTTCCTCCTACAGCAGATGGGGTCAGGATCTCTCGTTCTGCTTCCTGGAGAACAAGCCTTTGTCTATCCCGAGTGGACACTACAGCAGTGTCCGCTGTCGCGGCTCAGCCGTCAGGCCCTGCTGGGACCTTTCAGGTCAGGCCTCGAGGTCTCGTTCCTGTTTCCAGGCCTTTCAGAGGGTCAGCACAGCCCCTCCCCGGCAGGAGTGCCCCCCCCCCCAGTGGCCACTTCCTGGGGAAGCAGCCCCATCCCGCAGGAGTGCACGTCTTTCTCTGGGGCGCAGCCGCTGCCCACAGTGGCGCCCACAGCCTGGGAGGCCGCCCCCCTCCCCCCGGCAGGACTGCTGGAGCAGCCCCGCTGGTGAGCCGAGAGGGTTGCAGCAGCCAGGGCCGCGCTGGGTGTGGCCGCAGGGGAGCGGCTCCTGGAGGAACCGAATCTCGCGCTCCTGGAGGAACCGAATCTCGCGGTCGGCGTCAGTTCCGGCTCTGGTCTCTTCCGAGCTGCCCAGAACCTGTTCAGCCGGTTCGCTCCCAGCCACCCTCATTCATCCCTCGGGGCTCTCTGCCAGCCAGCCCCGCCCGCCCGGGCCTGCTCGGCGCGGCTAGGCCGGGCTTTGTCTGGCCGGTGGGGCCGAGGCCCAGCCCTGGAGCTGCTCTGTGGGGCGCCCCCAGCCAGCCCCCGCCCCCAGTTCCCGCGGGCTGCGAGGACAGGCCCGCCCCTCGGAGGCAGGAAGCTGCAGCGAAGGCGCCGGGCTCAGCCCTCGGGCTCAGCCCTCGCCCGCTCCCGACTTTCATCGCCAGTCCGTCCTTCACTTTCTTCTTAGTTTTTTTAGGATTTATTGATGCACACAAGAGCTGGGGTGCAGGCGAGAGGCGCAGGGCTGAGCGGACTCCCCAGAGCCAGATCGGGGAGCAGGACAGGCGCATCCGCTGAAGCCCACTGCTGAGGGGGCAGGAGGGGTCTGCTGCGCCCTGGGGTCCCTCCCTGGCCGGGGTCGCACCGGCGCCTCAAGTCACGGAGACTCACTCCGCACCACCCGGCCTCCTTCACTCTTCCTGGTCTGCCAATATCTGCCCCTTCTCCCCACATAACCTGCCCGCCATGCCCCGCCCTTCCCGGCCGGCCCCTCCCTCTGCCTCTGGGGTGTGGTCAGGGCTGCCCCCCACTTCCTTTCCCGGCTTGCCATCGCCAGTCTCCCTGGCCCTCACTTTGCCAAAATGACTGTTTTCTCTAATTTCTAATTCCCCTCGTGAATGTTGGTCTTCTCTCTCTCTTTTTTTTTTTTTTAAATTAGCTTATTGTTACATCATTCTGTGCCTTTTCCATCTCAGTGGTCACCCCGTGGACGTCCCACCACCAGCCTTTCCGCCTGCCGCCGCCTCAGCCCCGGCATCCACCTGGGTCCCCCCCACTCGACCCCAGGAATGTTGGTGCCCTCTCAGGGCCGCCCTCGCCCTTTAACACTTCTCTCCAGCTGTTCCCCAAGTTCCCGGACTTGTGCCCAAGGCCTGTGTTGCGGGGTGTTTCACACCGGGCATCCACCCGGGCATCTCGGCGTGAGCTTGCCGCGCCTCTGACGTCCCGCCTCGCCGGGCGGAGTCGCTCCTCCAGTCCTCTGTGCCTGAGTCACCAAAGCACTTTAAAAAGAACGCCTCCCCCCACCCCCCAGAGCTTCCGCAGGTCTCGCGCTGCCGAGCCTGCCAGGCTGAGGGTTGCCCGCACCCACGCCCGCACTGGTCTGCGCGTCTGTCTTTTAAAACCCCTCTGGTCTGATAGCTGAAATGGTGCTGTTAACTCTGGTTTCCTTTTGTTGTTTATTGAGATTTGTTTGTTTATGCACACAAAAGCTGGGGTGCTGGCCAGAGGTGGGGGGGGTAAGAGGACTCCCCAGAGACAGAGTTGGGAGCAGAACAGGCGGATGCACTGAGACACACTGCTGGGGGTGGGGGCGGGGAGACAGGGGGGTCTGCTGCGCCCCGGGGCCCCTCCCTGGCTGGGGAGGACCCTGCTGTGGCTGGACGGCTCCACAGGCCCGAGCCTGACCCTGCCAGCAGGGGCCTCCTTTGCTCTTGAGGCAGGACTGGCTCTTCCTCTCCAGTCTGTGACGCGCCCAGGGCCTCCCAGGGCCTGTTCTTCCTCCAAATGACCAGAAGAACAGCTTTAAATTAGGGTTTTTTAAACTCGTGTCCTGGAGTCGTATATTAAACTTAAGTGCACGTACATTTTTTTGAGAACAGAGCTATCACTTTCCTAAGCTATGCAAAGGCTGGCCAGCGACACCAGATGCTGGATCACCACGCGAGGTGACCCTTGCCAGCCCGTCTCGCTGGGACGCCGCCGCGCTGCTTCCCGGCTGCCACAGCCCGAGCAGGCGGCTGAGGGGTGCTCTCTCTTCCTCTCCTGGCAGCCTCTCCTCACCCCCAACCAGCACTTAAGCATTAATTGACCACCTTCCACTGGCATTCTCTTCAGAGTTGTAGGGAAGGTCATTGACTTTCTGCTCACCCCAAAACCCGAGCGCAGAATGTCACTGTGGAGTCCGAGCTCGGAAACTATAGGAGAGAGCAGCAGACTGACGTCCTGGACGGCTGAGGTGCCTGCGGTTTCCTTAGCAGTGGTGAGGAGTGACCTGGGGGCGAGGACAGGCGTCTGGGGCCAGCTGCTCTGTCGCAGCCAGGAGGGAGCAGGGCCAGAGGGGCCAGGCCCCGGAAACCTCAGGCGCCCTGGGCCAGACTAGGCCGCTGGGAAACGAGCCTCCCTCGGCGCCTGGCGCCTGGCGCCCCGCTCCCCGGCCGCGCGCGCTCGCCTCAGACATCTCCGAGGAGCGTGGCGGCCGAGCTTGGATTGGGAGTTTGGCGCTTCCCTCTCTCCTCACGTCTGTCTCCTTTGCTGCAGGTGGATGGAAGCGTGCCTCGGGGAAGACCTGCCCCCCACCACGGAGCTGGAGGAGGGGCTCAGGAATGGGGTGTACCTGGCCAAACTGGGGAACTTCTTCTCTCCCAAAGTGGTGTCCCTGAAGAAGATCTATGACCGAGAGCAGACCAGGTATAAGGTGAGTCCCGCTTGGCGCTCACGCTCTTACGGGCCCCAGGGAGAAAGAAGGTGGCAGCGCGTCCCGGAGAGGCACCGAGAAGCTGTGTCCAGTCAGGAGAGGCCCTGGCCGTGCGGGCGCAGGTCTCAGCGGAGAGGCCCTTCAGCGGTCCGGACTTCCGGAGCATCCGAGGGTGGCGTGTAGCTGGGGGTTTTCACGGTTCTGGGTTTTTGTTTCTTAGAAGCTGGAGGAGGTCACTAGGGAAATGACTGCTTCAGCTGCCCTGTTAGCCAGGCCAGGTTTGTCGGCACATTCAAAACAATAGTTTCTCCAGACAGAGATGGTCTGGGAACTAGAGTTCAAGGCAGAATGAGGAAGGCGATCCAGTTTCAGAAAATTGAGATGCGGGAAAGGGTGAATTCCTGCGGCCCAGGGGAGGGGGGGCGCCTGCTCGGTTAAGTTGGGGTGTCGGCGGGGGCCAAGTTCTGTGGCCCACAGAGCTTCTGTTTCACTCTGTTTCAAAAAGATGGTGTACCAGAGAGTGTGGCCGGCTGCGGCCAAGGCAGGCTGGATCGAGGCCAGCGCCCCCCGAGACTGCTCTGGGCCTGGGGGCCCCTGGCAGGAGGCGCTACGGTGGCCGTCTCCGGGGCTGGAGCGTGAGCACCGCTCGGGCGCCCTCACCTCAGGGCCCCTCGTCAGGTCTGAGAGCGAGCTTCCGCAAGGCCGGTTACGGGCGCCTGCCCGTTTCGCCAGCCGAAGCTCAGGTCTTCCTTGCTCGTCCTAGGCGACCGGCCTCCACTTCCGACACACGGATAACGTCATCCAGTGGCTGAACGCCATGGGCGAGATCGGGCTGCCCAAGGTAATGGCGGGGCCGGGCTGGAGACCCGAGGTCATGTTTCTGCTGCCCCGGGGCCAGTTCTCTTTGCTCTCTCACACGTCAGAGGAATTCCCTACCATGCATGTTCTGTAAATTGTAGACTTAGCTTAAAACCACACACCGCGAGGCTCATGTTTTTAATGTGTACAGTTCCAAATCTTTGTTTTGTCTTTAGTATTTGACTTCAGGAAATACAGAGATATCAGCTTCCAGGTTCAAAGTAGTCAGCTATGAAGGGAGTATGGAGAGTCATATTTTGTTTCCAGAAAATGCAAAGGCCCGTAGTCCCTTTTATTCTTATGTCTGGTTTTGGGGTAGCTGCATGCTCTGTTAACAGCTTTACCGCTGCATAATTGATACGGACAAACCACCCATCGGTAATGTACAGTCTGACGCGGTGAGGCTTTGATGCGGTGTTGTAAGCCCGAGTGCTTTGCCCAGCCCTACCTTGGGCCCAGAAGCCATCCTGATGGTCTCTGTGAGAGGCGCCCCCGTCCCACAGCTTTGACCTGAGCGCCCCACCTGTGGGACCTGGTTCCATCCCCAGCACACCAGGCTGGCACAGGCACCGTGACTGTGAAGCCTTCAGCTTTGTGTGGCAGGAGCTGCTGGCCGCAAGCCCCCTGCCCCTTCCGGGCCCCGGCGATGACCCGCTGGGCTGGCTGCAGCGCCGCCGTGCGAGGCTGCCCCCGCCTCCGACTTGACAAGGGCGTCGCCTGGGATGCGCTAAGTGACAAAAACAAAAGCAAAACCAGACGGGCCCCGGGTCCCGAAGCGGTGTGTGGCCGAGACGAGTCTGCTCCTGCGTGCAGGGTGAAGGGAGGCTCTCGGGAAGCAGCGGGACGGCGTGCGCTTCTCCTGTCGGGCCACGGGTCTCGGTGCTTTGCTTTCTTCACGCTCCCCTGTGGGGGCCAGATTGTCGCAGCCCAAGAGAGGCCACTCAAGCGGGGTGTGGCGCGTCACCGTGCGGGCCCCTGCGAGCTCCCTGCTGGACCTGGGGCCCCGCACACGGCTGGCGCCCGTCCTCTCGTTTTTCAGAGCAGAGTGCGATTCTCCTCCCGGTTCTGGGATGTGAGAGAATTCGGCCCCTCCGATGCCAGGCGGCCCAGTCAGTGCCTGCAGCTGCTCGGTCAGGGTGTGCGCCTGTGGCTTCCTGTTCCTGCTCTGCAGTGTGCCCGAGGGCAGCGGCCGCTCAGCCTCTTCCGAGAGCTTTGCCAGTCTCCTGCCAGTAGCGCTGTGACCGCCCCGTGCTTTTGAGATTCTGCTCTCTGACGGTAGCGCCTTGTCCCGGACCACACTTGCAGCAAACGCAGTTCCCCAGAGGCTTCTGGGGCAGAGGGCTGCCCCTCGGCAGCTGCTCCGAAGGGCCCCGCCGTGACGTAGCCCAGCCCCTGGGGTCGCGGGCTCCTGCTCCCGCCAGAGCCACTGCTGTGCCTGACGAGTGGCGCTGACCCCCGTTCGCGGGCACTCTTGGGGGACGTCGCCCTGGTACCTACAGGCCCCGTGTCTGCTTCGGGTCTCCATTTTTGGCTCTTCGTGACAGTTTGTTGTTTCTGCGGGCCAGCTCCTCCACGATGTAGCCTATTACTGTGATATCTTAAAAAATTGTTTCCAGTCTGCCCCCAGTAGCCCCTAGATTTCTTGGCCTGTGCTGCTTCCCAGAACCTGCGGCCGGGCGCCCTTGGGTGCAGGCCTGGCGCAGCAGCACGGGTCCCCTTGCCTGGAAGTCCCCTGGCTGAGGGCACAGCGGCTCCGGTGGGCTGCCGGGCGTCCTCCTTGGGCACTTCCGCCACCTGGGGCCTCACACCCGAGGCCAGCCGCCTTTCCCCGGTGCCCGCGCCCTCCTCTGCCGTGGGGCTGCTGCGTCTTCGCTTCCACTTGTCCAGCCTCTGGGCCTTGGCGTGACCGAGGACCCCGGCGCGTCGTTCCCCAGAGCGGCTTCTCCCTGCCCCGCGCCAGAGCCTCTGGGCCAGGGCTTCGCTGTGGTCAGCAGTCAGGCCCGGCTCCCAGCGTCCGCAGGCTGACTCCAGCCTGCCCGCAGCCTTGTTTTCATCCCTTCTGAGCTGTGCTCTGGGCGTCTTCAGAAGACGCCCAGCTCTGCGGAGGCCTCCGTCTTGGGAAGTGAACAGACAGTCTGGAGAGGATCAGGGGGAGATCACATCCCCGCTCTCAGCACAGCGCTTCCCCTCCAGCCACAGTGTAGCATGGACACATGGACAGGACGCCCGGGGGTGGGGTGGGGTGGGGGGGCACCCTGCTCCCCAGTGCAGCGTCTCTCTGGCGAGGTGGGGAGCGCTGCGTGCGCCCAGGGCCGGCGCCTTACTCTGCTTCTCTCTCCTTAGATCTTTTACCCAGAAACGACAGACATCTACGATAGAAAGAACATGCCGAGATGCATCTACTGCATCCACGCGCTCAGGTAACGCCGCGCTTCTGCGCACCCTGAGGCCGGCGGCGGGGGCAGAAGGGAGCGAGGCCGGCGAGCGCTGGCCCTGCCCCTGCCCGCTGCCAGAGGGGCCCGGAAGTGGCTGAGAGGGCTCTCGGGCTGCTCCTGCGGCAGCGTCGCGGCGGAGGCCGCGGGCTCCTGGGCTCTGCCCCGTAGGGCTGGCGCCGGGCCGCGGCCGGCTTAGCGCGGCAGCTGCACCCAGTAAGCACGAAGCCTGCGAACGCAGGAGAGTCCGCCCTATCTTCAGAGCTCTCCTTCGGGGTAGTTCGGCGTGGCCGCGCCGGGCCTGGGGCGTGGGCCACTGCGGGCCGAGGCGGTTGTCTGCCGTCCTTAGTCCCTGCTTCGATAGCGTGCATTTCACTTGGGACTCAGCCTCCTTTTCACTTAAAATACCCCAAAACGACCAAAACGACATCATTCACCATGTGTTTTCGAACTGGTAAGTTGAATCTCAAACGATGTGATGTCTCGATGGTCTTCACGGCAGCACATTCTGGCAGGGTCTTCAGGTAACTCCAGCAAATGTCAAGCAGTTGGAGATCATTTAGGGACCGAGGTCCTTCCCATCGAGTCATTTGTTTCTTAAATAATTGTCGCATTGATATGGTAGGTAGGAACTGAAAAGCAAACGTACCCACAATTTCCTAGTAAATTTGGAGGTCCCGGCCTTTAGACCGGTCACTCGCGTGCTGGAAGGAAGTGCGCCGGTGTGGGGGCGCCAGGCCACGGCAGAGAGAACGGCCTCCGCTGGCCTGCGAGAGGAGAGGCCTCCAGGGCTCCTTCCTTTGCTGGCGGCTGCCCAGGCTCCGCAGGGGGCAACAAGTGCTGTGTGGAAACCACGCCTTGGGCACAGCCCCTCCCGCCCAGGGCGCGTCCTCGCGGGAGGGACGAGGCGCCCCCCAAGGCGGCGCGGGGCTGCCGCCATCCCTTGGTTCAGACCTCCGAGGGCACTGCTCTAGCTTTGGGAACGTCCTGTTTCCCTCGCTCGCCGGCCGGTGCGCACTGACCACCGCCCTCGGCCCCACGGCCGGAGTCGCGCCCCGCTTTTCTCTCCTTTAAGGTGCTTAGCGTGAGGCCGCACAGTGGTAACACGGCAGTTTCAGAAAAGAAGCTTGAGGGACGGGTCGTTGTCAGAGGGTTTCCACTGGGGTGTGGCTGGCTGGCGAGCGCTTGCGGGCCGCGGCCTGAGGTGGGGAGGAGCAGGCCTGGCGCGGCCTGAGCTGGGGACACCTGTGCGGCCGCCCTGCCCTGCCCTGCCGCGTGGCCGGGTCGCGGCCACTCCCTCAACAGACACCAAGGCCTCGCTGCCCGCTCGGCGGGCGGCCCGCACCATCAGCTCTGCTGCCAGCCTGGCGAGGTGGTGCTCTGGCTGGGGCGTGGGTGCCGGGGTGTGGGAGCGCTGGGGGGTCACGGCCATTCCCTTCCTGGCTTTTTTTTTTTTTTAGCATCTTGACCGTCCAGTCCACTGTACTTTGGCCTTACTGAATTACTCGTCGGCTGTATTCTGTCTCTGATAAGACCCAGCTCCCCGCACGTCTCCGATACTTTCTCTTTCTCAGGGCTGAGTTGGGACTAGCCAGCCCACGTCTTGAGGACACTTCGGGGTGACCTCTGAGATCTGCACAGTGGCCTCCGGGTCATCTATTGCACAACGGGCGGTGACAGTGGGGCCGTCTGTAGAGCACGGCTCGCACGGGGCAGCGACCTGAGCCCCACTACCCGCTGACGGCGGGGCGCCCGGCTACTCGTGAAGGTCGCGGGGCGAGCGGGCACGAGGACTGGAAAGTGGTGTTGGCCACTGAGGCTGAGCGGGCGATTCCGGTGAGGGGTCTGCGAGGCCATTGTGGTCCGATTGTAGCGCCAGCCGAGGGCTACCGCCTGCTTGCAAATCTGCAGGCCACCCTGGCGCTTCTGGTTTCAGGTGTCTGGACTCCCGCAGCGCGGACCCCGGATCCTGCTCGGCCCGCTGCCTCCCTCCCTGCGTGCCGGCTCTGACCGCCAGGCCCGCGGCTCAGCTCCCCGGCCCCGCGCCGCGCCACACCGCCACGGTGAGGCGGCCTAGGCGGTGATGGCGCTGGGCCGAGGCAGGCAGTGCTGAGCAAGAGCCGCGCTGCCCCGCCGCCAGGGGCTTGCAGCCTGCATTTCTTTTTTTATTGAGAAGTAAAGACTGATGATTCGTACTTAAAAAAACACTCAAAGGGTCTGAGCCGAAATTTTCCACTAGCAGTCTCAGTTCACCCAAGTTTTGCTATTTGAATCCTTTTCTCAAATGTCTTGTTACTTGCAACTTACTGACCACAGGAAAGTAGACAGATTGCCGGAGCGGGCATTTGTCTCTCGGCGTGCCAGTTTGTGGGGCCTGTCGCGGGTGTTGCGCTTTAAGCCTCAGCAGTGTGCTCGAGCGGGGAGGCCTGACTCTCGCCTGTTGTGTCTTCTAGTCTGTACCTGTTCAAACTAGGCCTGGCGCCTCAGATTCAGGACCTGTATGGAAAGGTTGACTTCACAGGTAAGGAGTTTCGAGCTGGCAGGGAGTGCTTGACGTAGGTGGACACACCTGGGGCGCGCAGGGCTCGGAGACGCTGGCAGCGAGGGAGAGTGGGGCGCCTGGCTGTGGGCGAGCGCCTCTCTGCCTTCCGGGACTGAGAGACTGCCGTCTGGCATCAGGCGGGCGTGACCCCGACGGGTGATATTTATGATGTCGCCTGCAAAACGTGAGGTGCGTCACACCCACATCTGTCCCGCAGGCTCACGTGTGGGGGCCCTGCCTGCCGTGCGGGGGGGAAGGGCGCTGCCCAGCCAGCCTGTTCCCGGGAGACTCCTCATTTGGGTGGGGTTAGAGCCAGGTGCTGGGGCGAGCCCAGTGGGATGCTGCCTAGGGGTAGGACACTGGTGATAATTTTAAAGGCTTGGGAGTTTCTGAAATTGCTAATAAAACTTTTATCTGTGACACTTTGCTTCCACGGAAGTTGTTGCTCAGACCAGGGCAAGGGCCAAGCTTGCGTGTTTCCTCTGTCATTTGGCTTCCCGCCTCAGAAATGGCTCCGGCTGTGAGGCTCGGAGGCCTGGCTGGCCCTCGCGCGCCCGGAAGTGGCTGTCCTCAGTCCGTGGAGGAGGTGCCAGAAGCCCTCGGGGAACGGCCCCGTCTCAGGTTCTGCCATCTCTGACGCCCTTGATGGCGGCGATGCGGGACGCCGGCGCCGTGCCACGCGCCTCCGCCTTCCGGGTGTGGCCGCGGCCGGTCGCGGGGCAGTTCTGAGGGGGGCCGTCCTCCCCGTGTCCTCCGAGTCGTGGGGCGGCCGCTTACGTGGCGGGTGTCTCGCTTCCGCCCGCAGAGGAGGAGATCAACAACATGAAGACCGAGCTGGAGAAGTACGGGATCCAGATGCCCGCCTTCAGCAAGATCGGGGGCATCCTGGCCAACGAGCTGTCGGTGGACGAGGCCGCGTGTAAGCCGAGCGCCGGGTCTGGGTCTGGTGGGAGGCCGTGGCGACGCCTCGGGCCGCTCGGCTTTGCCGGCGCTCAGGGCACCGCCGGAGGCCGGTGGCCTGTGTCAGCCAGATGGGGGCACTGGGGAAGCGAGGCGCACCGCACTGCCCTTGGAGTGGCCGCGTCTGCGCGCGTCCGGACGGAGGTGGGGCTCGGGGCGCCTGGCTTTGCTCCCGC